ATGCAGTTGACAAGACACAGCTGCCGCGACTAGGCAGACAGTCTGAATAGAAAAGATAAAATGTTCAAACAAATAGCAACAAATAACATTAAATCCTGGAACTCGTTCAAACAGTCAAAGATAAAAGCCGAAGAGAACCTGGAAAACTCATCTAATTTGGATCCTCTCTCTGGGACAAAGTAGCTAAAAAATTCCTGCAACGACAAAAATGCAGATGAGTTGATTTAATAGCAAACTAGTATACGAGTCATACATTGCACCCAAATGAAACTGAAAAGGAAGCATTTTTATTTCTTTTAGCAAACTTTTTAGAGTTTAACGCTGCTAGTTAAGGAGAAATCGAAGTACCGTACCTAAACATCTCTGAGCCGTCGCTTTTTTGCCATGGCAAGATCTCCTTGGAGGCTTGGTCACTACATGTTAGGCTGGCTGTACCTCACGATCGCCTGCATGCCTGTCTCCCTGAAGTTCATTTTATACGCCCAATTGTGCCACAAAGGCATGAGATCAACGGCTCAGGGCAAGAGCTGCGAACCAGTGGAGCGGGCCTCCTTTTCGTACAGTTTGACCGTGCGTGGATGCAGATGCAGGCAAACAATCCTGACCGGTGAACGTTGCGACAGAGCAGGAGTGACAAAGACGGCCATCACAAGAAGCTAGCTGCCGGCCAATATGCTTTCAACCTTTTAGGAATATTCTATACTCCCTCCGTCTCTAAATATCTGTCGTTTTCGCTTCCGAGAAACAACTTTGATTAAATATATATTAAAAAATATTAATATTTATGATACATAATTAGTATCATTGATAGATATTTGAATATAGTTTTTTAATAAATTTATTTAAAAATAGAAATATTGCACATATTTTCTATAAATCGAGTCAAAATTATCGGCACGCAAATTATGGTGACAAATATTTACGGACAGAGAGAGTATACTATACATTTAAGTGTAGTTCCTAATGGAGGATCTTTTGTATGTGTGCCTTTTTCATCTGCCATAACGTTGATACAGATACTCTACCGCTTTGCCAAAAAAAAAATACAGATACTCTCCTGGCTAACTGTGCCTCGATGATAGGGCTTCCGAGATACTTCCTTCGTCCATAAATAAATGCAATTCTCGTTTCCCGAGAAGTCAATCAGTTTGAACTTTGACTAAAATTATATAAAAAAAATACTAACATTCTTGATGCAAAATTAGTATCATTAGATTAGTCGTACAATATATTTTCATAATAAATTTATTTGGAGACATAAATATTAATATAATTTGTTATAAATTTGGTCAAACTTAAGCTACTTTGACTGTCACGGATCCCATAATTACATTCTTTTCTTGTTGGAGGGAGTATTATCCTGAGATTCTTCATGCACCCAGCTAGCTTGAGCTTGTGCAAGAAAAATATCATTTGATCAGTGATCGTATTCATAATAAATCGTTGTTGCACGTACGGTGAGAGAATAATCATGCATGATAAGGATCTCCTTTGGTGGACAGGGACGGCGGTAATGCAGCCATGCACATAGACTAATCTATCAAGCTATCTTCTAAACGCAGCCATGCACGTAACTTTCTCACAGCCCACAGCAACTTTTGCAAAAATCATAACTCAACCGAACAGGGCCACCTAGGCATCTCTACACATATATATTATGTCATTGATTTTTCAATGGCTGTTGACATAATACTACTAGGAGTACTTGCTAGATTCATTTTCTTCGTGTGCTCCAATCAGCACACATCGTTGCATGTGTTTGTTTGCTAAATATGGCCGGGCGCCGGGCACTTCATTTTCGACCTCTGCATGCAATAGTCGTCAACATTAACTATTTGGTCGAAAGCGGCCACAGATCCTATATATACACACAAAGACACAGGCACCGTACCAAACATGATTAACTTTATTCACAAAAAAAGGGAAACGAAAAGGAAATTTGCATTACACGTCCATGATGCACTATCTCATGTACAATCACAAGGAAAAACAAAGAAACATATGCATGTACATCAACCAAATAAAGGCTTCTCGTTGATGTATATTCAACGGGCCGGGCGATGCCAACGATCTTGTTGCCGATCCCTGGGCTGCATGTAACGAAGCAACGCGTGCAGATGATGATGATGATGATGATCGATGGATTGATGACTTATAATTTGTAACGGATGGAGTATATTCATTTCAACGGGTGTTGCCAGCGATCTTGTTGCCGATCCCTGGGCTGTGTCCGGGAGCCGTGGGCCGCCCGTCGGTGGTCGCCATCGTGCTGGCGGTGATCGTCGCCGTGAGACCTTGGACTGGAGGACGGCAACCACCGGCGCATGCTCCCTCGGCCGCGTGTTTCTCCGCCACCAGCAGCCTCCTCGCCTCGCCGGACGCCACGCTGCTCGACGACGTGAGGATTAAGACGATGATCACATTGCACGCCCAGGACGGCTTGACGAGACTGGCCATCTTAGCACGCGAGGAGTATGTGTGTGTGGAGTCTAGGCACTGGAATGTAGCCTGAGAACGGAGATGTTGCTCTGGTAGTCTGGTGCTAGCACTAGTAGTGTGATAGTGTCCTTGAGCTCCTTAGCGTGGTTTGGACTTAGGAGCGAGTTTGATTCGAGAGGGGCGATCTCTACGACAATTTATAGGGAGATGAAGTGCTCCATTGTGACACCCAAAAGTCCAAAACAAAAGGGCTATCAATACGAGGGGGCAGAACATGAAAGAGGGAGATAAATAAAACAAATGTAAATGCAGGTGTCTACTCTTCAACCCATGTTAGTCCACCATCGCACCATGTCACTTATTTCATGGCGCAGGTCACTTTCACCGCAATCCGAGGTTATTGTCACATGGTAATAACTAATAAGACTGCAGTCAAAAACTCTGTTCTTGTGCACGCGCGCGTCGCTTGGAAAAGGAAAAAGAACTTCTAAAGCGTAATGATTCGGATCGGAAGGTGCCGCTACACTCACGTAAACTGTTGAAAATAACCTGAAATGCAAGACCACTGCAGAAAGTGTTATTACAACATTATGTTTACTGCCATGTCTCCATCAGAAGAGGATTCAGAACCAGGGTGGCGCCAACTGAATCTCTGCGTCTGCATGGAACGCTCTGGGAATCTTCCCGTCTCTGACCAGCTGTGACCACGCACAGACAGAGACAGTAGCTAGGCGCCCATGGCAATGGCATCTGTGTTTAACTTGCATTGTGCTCCATCGATCACAGGGGGCCATCTTTTGACCGGCCACGCACATTCGCCGGCGGCAGAGCTCCCGGGACCAAGGAACTCATCTTTTCATCATTAAACCTTTCAGCCTATGGGCGCCTGTGCTCCCAGGCGAAATAAAACATGGCCGGCCCGGCGACGGCCGACGGCCGGCGGCGTTGTAAAGTCACCTGCTCAAGGATCCAACCAACGGTTTAGGACACCCAACTAGCGCAGGCCACTATATTACGGGAAAAGGCTCCAAGAAAAAGCTCACGCCTGTCCTGTCAGGGGCAGGGCGACGGCGACCATTCTATATTGCCGGAAATACTTGTCAAATGGGGCTTTTTCCGAAACGATGGTCCATGGGGTGCAGCCATGGGGCACTAAGGGGTGACCAAGTGCCGCCATGGCTGGCTAGCCGGAGCTCTGAGCTCTAGTTAATTGCAGCATATTTAGCCGCCATCCAGGGAAAGGGGAGGGCACTCCGATTCCAAACGCCAACTGTCTCTACTCTTTCTACCCAGTGCCACTCATCTGAACGTAGCTATAATATTAACAAAGGACTAGAGATATGTGCTTGTCGACAATTTGTATTCCTAAAGTTGCATGATACACCTACTTCCTGAGATTGACGAGATCTTTCGGTGCTCCCAAATCTATTGGTGATGGATGTTCAAGTCCTTTTCTTCAAGTTGCAGCTTTGCAGGGGCTAATGAGTAATGAGTGTTCTGTAGAGCACCACATGGCCGGCTACATCGTTTTGGAAGGCTATAGACGGTCTGTACCTATACCAATCCCAGCACCCTTGCCCCTTGGTTGCTGCAAAGGTCCGGGATCTGATCACAACTACCTCAGTGTTTGAAGTTTTATGTGGCAGCTAGCACGACGCGTTCGGCTGGCTGGTGGCCCTCAGACAGAACAGTATTTTTCTCTCACAACAATCAGCTGGAACAGTATTTTGACTTATTTTTCAGTCCTGCCGAACAGGGTAGTAATGAGGTGAAACTTTCATCAGAAGCTGACAGATTCTCACAGATGATCCTCTTGCATTGACCATCCATAAAGTACGCCATAAAATATGAGCAGCTTTGCCTTTGATCCAGTGAACCCCTTGCTACACATTTGTCTAGACTGTACACGCTCCAAATCGAGTGGAATTGATGTCATTCCGCCCATGCCCAACGACAGAAGCCTACGCAAGTACCAAAGGCACAGCGATCTTTCTACAAAAAAAATCGCATCTTGCCTGTTATTCAAAGCAAAGATCGATTAACCTATTTCTCTGAAGAAAACGAGGCACAATCGTACCAGGTACTTGTTCCATGCAGCACTGCTGGGTATCTATCTGCTCCAATGTTTAAGTGCATGGCCGACCTGGAACCTTTTTCTTCCCTTGTCGGCTGAACCGCTGAATTAAAACCATCAATACTAACAAAACAATGATACAAGTAATCCAATGCTGATATTTATTAAAAAGAATATTAGTATTTTCCATTTTTTTTACACGCTACAAAAGCCAGCCGACAGAAGCCAACATCATCAATTTATAGTGTCAGCATGATCGCCTACAAATTGTTTTATTGTTACAATTCATATCAACAAATAATATCAACCATAATTCTTAATTGAAGTAATGCAGAGTTCTCTCAGTGTGTTGAAACAAGCATGAGGATTTTCTTCATTTTGGCGATCTTGCCTTGCGAATTCACCTTTCATCAGACAGCAGCTTCGCAAATCTGTAAATGCTAAACAGCTAAGTACATCCTATTTGGGTGTTCTAATGCAATCATCATTACGATAGGAGCTGTAGACGTAAAACTAACATCTTTAGAGCTTCTTCGTTGGTCATCTCTGGCCTATGACAAGACGGCATCATATGGCCAGTTTCCAAGTTCGCCTGAGAGACAGGTTTCTTTAGTAGCATATCTCCAACTCTGGCAAGTTTCTCCATATTTTCCTTGGTCGCAACATCAACAGAGGACAGTGTCCCTTGTAGAATATCATCCTGTTATTTTGAAATAGTAATTTTTTAGATAAAGCAAATCTATTAGCTCTGCAAACTAAATGTACCCACTGTACTCACCTGAATCCTCAGATAGTTTTGCTCAGAATGCAAGGCTTTGAAAACAGCAGAGATATGGATATCCACCATATCTGCACTTGCCTGCGTGAAAATATCTACCAAAGGAGTGGATCCACTGCCAAGCAACCAACACAACACTCCCCATGATTTAGCCGTTTGTGCATTGCAGTTTGCTTCAAACTTTGCTGAGCCTGTGCCTAGTGAAATGACCAAAAACCGGCCTTAATCCATAGGTTTTATTGGGAAGAAATCTGGGTTTTCCTTGAATATCTGCTTGGTTACTTCTCCAATAAACAAAAGAAAGATAAATTAGATTTCCTTAAAAAGTTCAAAGTTACTTTTAATTTCTCAATCACATACTATGTTGATACTTTGCAAGATTTTACACATAAGAACTGCAAATAATTTATCAACCTTGCATCATGATTGAATTGCAAATTTCTGATACTAATGCATAATTACTGATAAATATAGCACCGGATTATTGGCAGCTACTCCTCCATCAATAAGATGGAACTCCTTGGTGTTCCCATGGCGATCTTCTGTCTTGAAGTAGTGTGCAGGAAGATAAGTTGGAGCAGCAGATGTGCTGATACAAATATCTGATAGTAGAGCATCCATTGTGCTGTACTTCTCATTCTTAACCTATGATATAAAAGAAAATGCCCATTGCCATTTAAATTTTAAGCATGGAGGATGAATGGAAGTCCCTGTTATTCACTCCTAGATCTTTCCCCTTGATTTATTCTAAAACCAGTTGAAGTGTTTTTATTTGAGTAGCAAACATTTCATACACGGCTGAAGTTATTTGGTTCTAACTCATTGTCATAAACATGCAGAGATCTATAGTGTATTCATAAGTCATACAATGTGTTACAGTATGAATCACCCCTCTTCACAGGATAGAGAGGGATGGATTGGGTACGGGTGAGAGAGAGACACACACCTCATAGGACGAGAAAATAATAGGTTGTAGCCGCTTGATGTCGAAAGTTGGTATTACCACATCTGTTAAAGTCTCATGCAGCCTGGTGATTCCTAACTTCTTTCTGACAACTTCATGAAGGTACTTACCATCATAGGAAGGTCCTGACAGCGATCGGAATATCCTCATTATCCTACCGAATGGACCCCTAAAGAAAGACCAAAAAAACGTTGACCGGAAAAGTTTGCAATCCAATTAACAAGAACAATAAGATATGTATTCACCTCTGCTGTGGGAAAATCTTAGGAGCATGGTTCATATAAAATGTTTGAATATCCTTGGCTGCAAAGAGTGGCCTGTTTGTATTGTTTGGTGCAACCAGCATTGAGGTGACAAGCCCCCCTGTGCTGGTCCCAGCAATGACATCGAAGTAATCTGCTAACCTGGCTTCCTCTCCATCAAGTTTCTTTATCAATTAAGAAGAACAGTTTTACATAAGAATCCATCAAGAGAACATTTAGCATATTAAAAATAGGATGGCACTCCTAATTCTGACTGCAATGCAAATTGCGCCAGGCTTTCAAGATTTACTCAGGTTTTATGAAAGTCATAATCTATTAAGGTTTAAGTTAACAATGCTTCTCCAGAATTATCACCCAGATTGGAATATAGTTGTGAATTGGGTTTAATTCTAAATGGTTTGTACTTTGAACTAGCATATCAACAAATTTTGGACTCTACAAATGCACTTATCACCCTCATGCGAGCAACATATGCAATAGGGAGTTCTAAACCATCATATCTCTCACTAAGTTAGTGTTGCCTAGGCAATCATATGATACGATACATGAAACCACATTGCGCAGTTCTGCTTCTACAGATTTACCTGCAACTCTGATTCCAGAAAGGTGAGAACAACAGCCGGAATGATTCCTCGAATGCCTCCACCATCAATAGAAAGAATAGTTACAAGGTTGCCATAAGTTGGTGGCTGGATGAGTTTTCCTTTCTCCATCTTCTGAGTCTCTCTAAGGGCCGGTTAAACACAATTGAACCTTTTTTTTTTCTCGAAAACGCAGGAGAGCTGCGCTTCATTAAATTAAGAAGAGAATAAAGGGCAAGAGCCCAAACAACACCTTACACACCACACACACACGCACACACCCCAGTTTCTAGGATTACACTCGCGTCGTTGACATAAACACACAAGACGACCACTACTGAGTTAGACACTCTAACTACCGGGGAGGAGGGCAGTCAGGAAAGATAATCCTCGAGCCCCTGCCATAGACCACAAGCGGCGTTCCTCGCCAGCTACAATCAGAGCACCAGCTAAGCTTGGAGCTGCTCCATCGAAAACACATCCATTGCGATGGTTCCAAATAGTCCATGCTCCAAGTATAATAAGCGAATTAAGTCCTTGCCTTATCAGCCCATCAGCGGTGCTGCTGCTAGCTTTCTCCCACCAAGCATGGAAGGACAACTCTGTAGGCTGAGGGGACAGAATCTGAAGACCGACCTGTCTGAGCAGAATGAACCAAAATTCTCTTGCGAACACACAGTGGACAAGGAGATGGTCAATAGTCTCTTCTTCTTGGTCACAGAGAGGACAATATTCAGGATGAGGCAACCCACGACGTGCCAGGCGATCAGCCGTCCAACACCTGTTGTGCGCGACCAGCCACATAAAGAAGCGACACTTAGGCGGTGCCCAAGATTTCCAGATCCAAGGACAATCAGGATGCCAAGGATGCTGCAATATATGTACAGGACAAGTATTTATAGGCTTCGAGATGAGAAATTTCAAGGTATTGGCAGGCAAAGGAACTGGCTAAACATAAAGAGACGAGATGTTTCCAAGAGGATCTATACATTCAGTGGTTAGCCATTATGCGCAACTTAAATGTGGGATAATATCATGCCCAATATGGCAACATGTCAAATACTCCATTCCTAAGTGCAAACGTACAAGTCAAATGTTTGAAACATTGTTAAGGGTGGTTAGGTTAGGGTGTTTTAAAGGAACACAAATAGTCACCTAAGTAAAATTTTAATGCTTATTATAATATTTCTAGGAATGGAAAATGTGGTTCTCTTTATTGTAACGACTGAGATGCTTGCATTTGTGAGAAACAATTATCATTTTTGGGGGAATAAACATCCCTTTCTGAGTTGCCCTTGAGCTAAGGGATCTACTAATGCCCTGAAGGCACTGCTAGAAAAAGGAAATTGTCACCATCCAATGCTTTAGTTATGATGGAAAACTAGTACTCACTTATTCAGAACCAAAAGAAAGCAAGCCTCTGCACTATTTCAAGTTTTCAACCTCAGCTTGCGCCGATGCATGCAACCCTGTCAAAGGTGACAAATTTCATGTGCTATTTCATGCTGATTGACTAAGATACCAAGATCAGGAAGAAGCTCGCTGCTGCATAGTTGACTGTGGACATCATGCAGCTATAGGGAAACAACCAGAATAGCATATTACATTTAATTTATCACAGATTTTATTACATGGATAGTTGTTGCATCATTGCTGAGGTATGTTCATTCCTTTTATACGCAAATGATTATTTTCTGTTCTCCACATCACATGAACTAACAGAAAGGTTATCACTTTTTTCCTTGGCTCAATGAAGGGACAAGCTGTAGACTTCCAGGTTTCCATAGGCTAAAAGTGTAATCAAATTTCATATATTAGGTAAGGTCACATGCTAAGACTAAATATCATCTCATGATTAAGGATTCAAGACTCTTTGGGCAAAGAGAAATCTAAAGGATAGATGTTTGATTTCCAAAAGGTGTAAAGAACAAAAGAATGAAGATGACTGCAGGGAGTATTGTGGATCCAATAGTTAACATTAAAACATAAAATTAGTGCAGCTGATAATACAAACTTAGGTGAACCTATATGCACATGGAAAAATGAAATTTGCTACATAGTTTAAGTACAAAAAAGGAAGGTACATGACATCAACGCTGTGTATTATGAGAAATTATCATGTCAGTAGTAAGAGGTTAGACATCTTTATATGCGGATAGCGCGGCAATCTTCATTAATGAGAGCAAGCCTAACTTAGATGTGATCAAAGGAATTCTGCAGGCTTTTGGTAATATCACCGGCCTAGTCACCAATTTTGAGAAGAGCTCCATCCATCCGATTAGATGTGAGAACATCAACCTACAGGAAATACTTCAACACTTTCCTGGTACCTGAAGCTCTTTCCCATGCAAATATCTAGGCCAGTAGCTTCACACACGCTCCCTGCAAAAAATCCACATTCAACCGCTAATTGAAAAAAAATTGGCCAGCGACTACTGGCCTGGAAAGGTAGACTTCTAAACAGAGCTGGGCGCCTAACGCTGGTCACATCGGTCCTCTCAGCAATTCTGACTTACCATCTGACCGTCTTTCCTCTCGCAAAGTGGGCAAGAAAGCAAATTGACAAGATCGGCCATGTGTTCCTATGGAAAGGAGAAGGAAAGGCAAACGGTGGACACTGCTTGGTAAATTGGCCAACAATCTGCATGCAAAAGAACCTCTGTGGTCTTGAGCTCTTGGCGTGGTAGATTTGGAAATTTTTGGAGGGCGTTGCGCCTCGATGGCTGTGGCAAGAATGGAAAGAATTGGACAAGCCTTGGGTAGGCTCAGAGCTTCCATGCAAGCCTGAAGACCACTTGCTGTTCAACGCATCCACAACCATAACCACTGGAAATGGTTCGAGGGCAAAGTTCTGGCACCACAGCTGGCTTGATGGCATGGCCCCAAAATACTTGGTACCTCACCTCTTCGTCCTGGTTAGGAGAAAAAACTGAACGGTGCAACAAGAGCTAAATAGAAACACCTGGTGCAGACAACTTCAAGGAAAGATCACAACGGCTGTTTTTTTTTTAGAACAGATCACAACGGCTGTTGAGGTGGAGGAATTTGTCTCACTTTGGATTAGGCTACAGGGGGTACATTTGGATCCATCAACTGAGGATACCATCGGTTGGAAATGGACGGCGGATGGCGTCTACACCACCCATTCAGCTTACCGTGCACAATTCTTTGGGGTGGTCAAGTGGGATCACATAAAACTCATTTGGCGGGCTCACACTGAAAATAGATGCAAGTTGTTTGCTTGGATCCTAATTCAAAACAAACAGCTAACAGCAGATAACCTCACCGTCAGGAGTTGGCCGCACCTGACCAGCTGTCCATTATGCAACGGACCTCCAGAAACAGGCCATCATCTTTGCCTCCTTTGCCCCTTTGCGCAGATGGTCTGGTTGCAAGTGTCCACCTGGGAGAATTTGGTGATCTCGCAGCAAGCGCTACCTACAGATTTCGACAATATCAAAGACTGGTGGGAAGCTGCAGCACATTCATTTCATCAAAGCCAAAGGCGCAAATTTAATGGGATGGCCATTTACATCATGTGGAACTTATGGAAGGAAAGAAACCGAAGAGTCTTTCAAAACGAGTATTGCACTGTGTTGCAGGTCACGGAGTTGGCAAAGGAGTGCTAAGCTCAATACAGAAGGGCGCCAGACCTTGAGGAGTAAACTTTTGTGGCTTTATGGTTTGGGAAAAAAAAATTGGGTGAGGACCATCCCTACCGGGTCGTGGTGCGGACTGTTCGGCTGACATGTGGGCCACCATATCATTTTAACCGCACGCATGGTAAATTAGATGCCCCATGGTCCACGCGTCGGCTGCACATCCGCATCGTGTTTTGGTGAGGACCATCCCTACCGAATTTTTTTCCGTGGTTTGGGGGGAGGGGGCCGGGGGGAGAGCCCTTACAGAGAGCTGCCCCCAAGCTTGAGCTTTTAATTCATTCCTCTTGTACATTTTATTCCGCTTAATTGAAAGGCAGAGCTCCTGCCAATTTCTTTCAAAAAAAGTAGTAAGAGGTTAGAATTTAAGTGAAGCAAGCAGTGCCTTCCAAGGAAATCCATCATATCTGTTTGAAATTTTGAAGAATATCTTATACCTTTACAAGATAAAGAAGATTTGCATATAGATCACAAATGCAAGAAATTCGATATGATAGCTACTAGTAATGTGGTGAATGGTGATTCAGCTTCTGGTCAATTTGCTGTCAAATTTGGCTCCTGGCACCACAGGAGTCGACTTCTTGTGCAGTTCTTTTTCGAAAACAATTCTTTCCTCATGAGAACGAACATATGCACGATGGTCAACCCTAACTCAATCGTTGATACTGCAACAGATCAAATCAATACAGCATTTCTCTGTAAATTCTACCAAGATCCTTCGGTTCATGCATATCACAAAATTTACGTGTATAACTTATATCTTGCTCAAACAGCATGCCTTTTGAAAGATGATAAAGGCAAGTGTGTTTGGTCAATGAAAGCACAAAGACAAGTCAGGGAAGCAGTATTTCTCAAAGCCCCATGATGCAGCAATGGAAGTAAAAGGTTGACCAAGACATCATGCATGCCTTGTACGACAAACAAAACACACCTAGGATACCTGAAGGTGGATATCACATCAAATAAGTTGGTCCAAGAGAAATTCTCCCCATATTGATTTGTTTTACAACTGTTGGGTTATGATCCATCGTAGGTGGCTGCTCCTGGACTGTTGCATGTGAGACTACCAGCCATTTCTCCCATTTGTGCAGGAACACTGCTCTAGTATGAGAAGCCTCACGACTCATGTATACTAAATGACTGCTCATGTTATGCAACAAAGTCACCAGGGCTGTACTAAAGAGAATATTAGCAATGCTAGGATTTTGTCATAAACTTTAGTCAGGCAAAGTAAATACAGATTGCATAGGTATACCCAATCTGGGTCTTGCACCAATAGACATTAACCCAAAGGTAAGTCTAATACAGCTCAGTTATAACCCCTTCTTCTGATGGAATTTGAGAATCTGGAACCCATACCCAGGCCTTCATTAACGTTATGAAATATCTAGTAGATAAATAAAATCTAGGACTAACTGTAACTCAGCAACAAGATGAGGAGTATAGACTGTATAGTGTAGACATATCTATGAAAAAAAAAACATGCATATCCTTAGTCAAAACTCGAAACAAAAATGTAACCAAACATCAGATTTGAGAACAATGCACCATGGCCGCGTGAAGGAGTGGACAAACGGAGATGTCATCCATAGCTCAGAAACTCAGCGATGACCCGGACTTGCGCCTCCGCCTCTGCGCTCATGGGACACGAGAGATGGAAACCGTGTCCTTGGCCGTCCGCCTCCCAGTCCTCCACCTCCCCACGCCACCCACTTCCCTTCAGCTTCTCACAATACAGCCTTCCTCTGCCCCTCATCGGGTCCTTTCCCCCGACGCACACCAGCACGCGCCGGCACCCCAAGCTAGCGAGATTGGGGGCGCCCTCTGCCATCGGATTGATCAACGGGTCGCCGTCGCACCCGCTCGTGCCCGGGCACACCACCGGCCACAGCCGGACGAGCTCGCGGAGCAACGCTACGCCCATCTCGTCCGTCTCGGAGCTCTCGCCTCCCAGGAAGTAGGGGTGGATCAGCACGAGCGAGCTGAGCTTCACGCCGTGGCCCAGCACCTCGCTGCCAGCGCGCATCGCGGCGTGGTGCGCAATGTTGGCGCCCGCGCTCTCTCCGCCGACGTGGACGCGCCCGAGGTCCGCGTAGGCGGTCAGCCAGGGCTCCGGCCCCCGGCCCGCGGCGTGCGCGGCCACCCACTGGAGCGCCGCCCACGCGTCCCCGTAGAGCGCGGGGACCGGATGCTCCGGCGCGAGGCGGTATTCCACCGACACGACGATTACGCCGGCCGCCGCGGCGAGCCGGTTGGAGTGGGCGTGCACCGCCGCGTCGAACGCCGAACCGAGGCAGAACCCGCCGCCGTGGAAGAACACCAGGACGGGGAGCTTGCCGGGGCAGGGGGGCGCCGGGAGGTAAACGCGAGCCGATACGCAGGCGTCTGCGAGGATGACGACGTCCTTTGAGGAGACGCCGGTGGTGGCGTCAGTAGAGGGCGGGGCGAAGTCGACCGGCAGGAAGCGCTCGACGCGGCCGCTCTTGTACACGCGTATGAAGCCGGGGGCGTCGAGGATAACCTCGTCGCTGTCGCCAGCGTCGGCGTTGGACATGGCGTTGGGGAGATTGTAATATGGCACGAAAGGGGTCGCAGAAATCGAACCCTAGAGCTAGAAAGGTTTACTTCATTATTTGGTGTTGGATGTGATGTGCGGCGGAGAGCCGGAGACCCAGCGGCACCGAGCTGTCCGCCGACGACGCGGACGCGGCAAGCAGTCGTGGGCTCGTGGCCAGTGACTCCAATGAGCACGAGTGGGGATCAGATCTGAGATTTCGAACCATTCCAAATCTAACTACTCACTGACGTGGGCCACATGGACCATTCTCAGTTGAGCCCATCCAAAACGCCAAACCGGGCCGCTGAATCGCTGATCTGTCAACGCCTCCCGCATTCAACACGCGCCAACCGTTGCTGACTGGCGGGCGGCGACGCTTAAACGTGAAGACGTGGATCCTGCGGCGACCGCACTTCAATCTGCTCGGCACTCGCCTTCCCAGGCCACACCACGATGGCACGACCCACCATGGCCGGCTCCGGTGCTAGCGAAGATGAGGCCATCTTCGAGATGGCGCCGCAGTTCATCCGCGTCAACAAGAGCGGCCGCGTGGAGCGCTTCTTCGGCTCCGACCCCGTCCCGGCCTCCACTGGCGTCGCCTCCAAGGACCGCGCCGTCTCCCCAGATGTTGCCGTCCGCCTCTACCTCCCGCCGACCGAAGACAACGGTGGGAGCAGGAAGAAGCTTCCAATCCTCGTGTACTTCCACGGCGGCGGCTTCTGCCTTCAACTTCGTCTTCCACGCCTACCTCACCTCCCTCGCCGCGCGTGCCCGTGCCATAGTCGTCTCCGTCGAGTACCGCCTCGCGCCCGAGCACCCGCTCCCCGCCGCGTACGACGACTCCTGGCGGGCACTCGTCTGGGTCGCCTCCCACGCCCACGCCACGGGATCCGGTGAGGAACCCTAGCTTGAGCGTCGGCGGCGACAGCGCGGGCGCCAACATCGCGCACCACATGGCGATGTGCGCCGGCGCCGAGCCCCTCCCGCACGGCGCCTGCATCAGCGGCGTCGCACTCGTGCACCCCTACTTCCTCGGAGCCGACCGGGTGACCTCCGAGGAGTGCGCTGGTCGAGAACATGGTGACCATGTGGCGCGTGGTGTGCCCGAGCACCTCGGGCGTGGACGACCCCTGGATCAACCCGCTCGCGGCCGGCGCGCCTGGGCTGGAGGGGTTCTTGTGCCTCGCGGAGAAGGACGTGTGCCGCGACCGGGGGCAGGCGTATGCCGAGGAGCTTAGGGCCAGCGAATGGGCCGGGGAGGTGGAGGTCCTCGAGGTGAACGGACAGAGACACTGCTTCCACCTCGTCGACTTCGCGTGCGCCGACGCTGTCGCACAGGACGACGCCATTGCCAGATTTGTTAACCTGTAGGATCCTTGCGACCTCGTGGGCGTTCGTACATTGCATTTGTGCACAATTCTAGTGTATGGTCTGCGGCTCATATGTCTGAAAACCTGCCGGCGAATTCATATTGTTGTTGTTTGTTTTTACGTTTTTGGAGTCCTATAAACTTATTGTTGCTGATACATTCGGTGGAGGGATTTCGATCACCATCTGATGAGTCCAAACTTGATTATAATCTTTTGTGTGTTCTGACCAAAACGAGGCACACAAATCTAAGGCCACGACTTTGATTCTTCTGACCACTGCTTCGGAATATCGAACTGGGAAAAAAAGAACCTAGCTAACTAAAGCCCTTCAAAAAATTTCTTCTACCCACAAATACAACCGGATGCGATATGATTGATTGCAGATTATTGGTTGGTATGAAAGAGCTTGAACTCCAGCTAAGGCTTCGTTCGCTTTGCTGAAAAAACAAGCCGAAACAATGTTCTGGCTGATTTGTTGTGAGAGAAAAATATTATTCCAACTAAAAAACAAACTGAAAAGTACGAATTATAAGAGAAACGAACAGGGCCTAAAACAGATCTAGTTGTGGTTCACTGGTTAAAAGGACATTTGACAAAACAGTCGCTTCTATAGTAGATAAAATGTGTTCACTAGTTAAAAGAAGGTTTGACAAAACAGCGGCTCCTAGTAGATAAAATTCATGAAATGACAATAATGCTCTTTCTTTTCTCTTTTCTTTGTTCTTTTCTATCTTCTTCCTTTATTTATTTCTCGTTTAACAGTTTCATCTTTTCCCTCCAGTCTATCTCTTCCTCTCCCTTTCTCATCTCTCTCACACCCACCAAATCTGTAGTGCTCCCCCGCCGTGTCATCTCCCCGCCACGCTCACCCACCCGCGCCACATCTGTCATGCTCCCATCTCCGTCCCGCGGTACGGCCTCGCCTCAGCCATTACCCACCCGTCCAAAATAGACTCGTGTAAGTTTTTATAAGTTTTCCAGGCTTTAATTTTTAGTGACCTAATTTAGCCCCCTCTTAGCCGTTACGGTACCTTTAATTTCATCTATCCTTTTCGATACAATCCTTCTGACAACTACAATACCTAGAAATTCTTCTTCATGATGTTGAACTCTCAACTTCGCTTGACACTTGGACATATATTTGGGGATCATTGATATACACCTCAACTAAACCCTACAAAGTCTTATTTGGTCATCGTCTCTAAATTGTGGTTTTCTCAAAACAGTGTTGGTCCCTTTTGAATATTCAAATACCAAAACTAATAAACCATTTGAAATTTGATGCACTTCAAATGACATAATACTGACGCACTTCAAACGACAATTATCAGTACCTTCTATATAGAACGGATTGTACCAATGAGTTGGAGTATTTGGACTTGTTGGGCTAATCATATTTTCAGGAATATCCAATGGTTAGTAGGTTTCTTGTTATTGTACTCTTTGTTTGTATAATTGTATATACTAAATATGTTTCAAATTATAAGACGTTTTGACTTTTCTACGTACATACTTTTACTATGTGTCGGTGTGAAAAGTGACCAACAAGTAAATATTTATAGTTTTACCATACGTTGTGATCGGATGTGGCCTAGCACTCAATGACATATGATTTTATACTGGTTCAGGCAACGTGACCTACGTCTAGTTTTAGTCGGTCGGAGACTTCATTCCTGAGCCCAGGTGCTCGAAGTTTGCTGTGAGGTTACAAACGAGTAGGAATAAGACGGGGGGTGTTAAAGACCCGGTCGGACTCTGGACCGAAAGACCGAGAGTGACGGGGGCTCTAACGTACACTGAGTATTGGAGCGTATGCTCTATGTAGCTTTAGAGTTCTAGAGCTATTGAGCTTGTTCGAGTTCTCTTTTTTCCGGAGAGTCAGAGAGTCTCTCTCTAGAGAGGAGAGAGCGCATCCCCTTTTATAGTTTGAAGGGGATGGCCTTACAAGTCAGAGAAAGAGAGAATGGATACGTGTGCTACCTAGTCTTGTTGCCCACGCTGTCAAGTATGAGACGGTCGTCGGCGCCCACAATACTGTTTATGTCAGACGTTTATGGCATGTTCTACCTGAAAGGATCAAGATGCCTAAAAGGGAGGTGAATTGGGCTAATTCTAAAATTTTTTGCAATAATTAAACCCTATGGTTAGCCCACTTCACCCCTTGTGCCTAGAAAGTATTCCTATTGTTCTACCGCACAAAAGTTTAGCAACCTATGTTTCAATCCTACTCTAGCATGGCAATTCTATGAATGTAAAGACAAGAATTGAATTGCTCAAAGTAAATACTTAAAGTAAAGACAGAAGGAGGAACGCGGTGATGTTTTGCCGAGGTATCAGAGAGTCGCCACTCCCCACTAGTCCTCGTTGGAGCACCCGCGTAAGGGTGTAGCTCCCCCTTGATCCGCGCAAGGATCAAGTGCTCTCTACGGGTTGATTCTTCGACACTCCGTCGCGGTAAATCACCCACAACCGCTCACAACTTGAGTTGGGTTATCCACAAGCTCCGCCGGATGATCACCAAGCTCCCAATCACCACCAAGCCGTCTAGGTGATGGCGATCACCAACAGTAACAAGCACGAACTCTCACTTGACCACGACAATCCTAATGAGAAGGGTGGATACACACTTTGCTACTCTTGCTTTCACTAATGAGGCCTCTCTCTTGGATTCTCAAATCTCAATCACCTCACTAGGACCTTGCTCTTCTTGGCACTCTCAAGGGTGTTTCTCAGCTGTTGGAATGAGCAAAAGTGATCCCTTGAGTGAATAGAGAAAGTATTTATAACCCCTCATTCAAAACAAACCGTTATGTGCCTCTACGGGGTGACCGAACGCTCTGGTCAGTTCTCCCCGCCACCGAGCAGTTAAGTTGTGACCGGACTCTGTCCAGCGTCCGGTCAGCACTGACCGGACGCGTCCGGTCACGAAAACTGCCCTCTAGAACCTTACTGATGTTGACCGGACTCTAGCACCCAGCGTCCGGTCACTTTGCTGCTCAGCATTCGGTCAGTAGCTGGAATCTGACCAGCGTCCGGTCAGCACTGACCGGACACATCCGATCAGGATTCTCCCTCTCTAGAACCTTACTGGAGTTGACCGGACTCTGGCACCCAGCGTCCGGTCACCTTTCACTCAGCGTCCGGTCACATCCAGACGACTTCACCTTGATCAAATGAACTGACCGAACTCTAGGCCAGTGTCCAGTCACACCGAAACCAGCGTCCGGCCAGCATTTGACTCTCCATTCACTTCCAACTCGCAATCATATGTGAATGAAGTTTGCTCCAATTGATCTTAGGGCTATTTGGAGCTACCTACTACTAGTTTTGACAAGTGTGCACCACACCTAACCCACTAGACTCACCTAAGTCAAGCTACCCATCCATACCCCCTTTAATAGTACGGCCAAAGAAAAACAAAGTCATAAACTACTCTAAGTGTCTCTTCAACTCCAAACGACACTTAGAACTAGTCCATCATTAACCTTGTCGTCCATCCTTTGAAAACCGAAACGATTTCCATCGTAGGGGCATGACAACCATGATTACCCAATCAATTGCCATTACCATGACCTAACTTAATTGCATCTGCAAAACACACGTTAGTCACAGTAATCTCGTATTGTCATTAATCACCTAAACCCATCTAGGGGCCTAGATGCTTTCAATCTCCCCCTTTTTGGTGGTTGATGACAATACAACCTCGAGTATGTAAAAAAGATAAGGTTTTCAACATGCTTGGTTCATATAAGCTTTTGACAATAAGAACAAAAGAGTTAGGCAAGCTTATATGACCCAAGCCAACATGATATACTCAATAGATATGAAATAAGCATAAGTACAAGAAATAAAGCTCATTTGCATCGGAGTAAAACAAGGAAGCAAAGCAAATGAGCATAACCAAGTGATATGACATAAATAATTCAAAGTAGAGAGCACACATGTCACATATCACATAAATATCATGATCACATTAATATCACGATTATGATCACACTTATGTAGTTCAATGCATAATAGTAAACATGAATGTATAAAAATGTATCACACATAAAAAGCCAAATATAATAGATAAGCTCCCCCTAGATATGTCGCTCCCCCTAAGTCTATCATACTCAATCTCTCTCCCCCTTTGGCGTCAAACACCAAAATCTAAGGGTCGGTCAGCGGGGCTGCAGTAGATGAGTCGGGCGCTGAGGCGCGAGGAGCGAGCTAGAACTGTGTGGCATCATTATCTGATCCTGAGCTCTGAGCTGTATGACCCTCTGTAGCTGGAAGCGATGCAGAAGCGGTCTGGGTTGGATCAGGGACTGGTGCGGCCTGTGACTTTGCAGGTATGACTGTAGCAGGCGGCTCTGATGATGCAACTGAAGAAGGAAGCGTCTCTATAGTCCCAGTAATAGGAGCAACTATGGAAGGACCAGGGACATGTAGGTATGGTGGAGTAGGCTGCCCTGTCAACTCACTGAATATTGCACCAAGGCTCCTAGAGACTGAGGTATCTGGCACAAGCAACGGGGAAGTCTGAGCCGGTGTGAAGCCCGTCTATATAGGTGTGAATTGTGGGGCTGGCACTGGCGAGGCAAACCACTGGGACACCTGCTCTATAGGTGAGGGAAACTATGTCGCTGGCTGTCCCTCACTCTGAAGCCCACTGGGCTGTAAAGTTGGAGTCATAGAAGTGGTGGCAGGCTGGCCGATCTGGGGTGAAGGCTGTGGTGGTGGAGCCCTAATAGCAGTAACTATATGCTGCATAAATCCAAGTAACTGCTGCTGCATGAGAAGCTGCTGCTGATGCATGGCCTGTTGATGCTGCTGTATAGCCTGCTGTTGTCGCTGGAACTCGTCCTGTCTGGCCTGAAACTGTGCAAATGTAGCTACGGTCTCCTGGGCCTGGCGAGCCTGATCCTACCTCATCTGCTCAAGTATAGCTAGTAGAGCGGGGTCTGTCTGTGGTGCAGGTGGAGCTGAACTAGAGC